TTTAGATAACATATAAATTGTGGTGCATTATAAATCTGCACCATGACTTGAACTCAACAATATGTCTGAAATATACTTTTCCCTAACACTGATATATGTGCTAGATAGATAGATAGATAGATAGATAGATAGATAGATAGATAGATAGATAGATAGATAGATAGATAGATGTATGTCCTGTTCTGTGTTTATGTCACTTAGTTTCTTCAAGCAAATTCAAATCAATCAAATACTTATCAGGCAAAATGTAATGAGGGAGAACAAAGTTTCTGATGTAACTAGATTAGACAGATTAGTTCAACTGATTTCAAAGTCTTTTCCCGCTGTCAGTGGTTGTCTAGCATCCAGTGGCACCTGAGGCCGGGCACAACGTGATGTAACTGTACCTGAGTTCGCAGGCTACTGTTCAGTCAGGCTTGAAAAAATGTGTGTGTGTGTGTGTGTACTTGTGTTGGTGCTGAGTGTGTATTTATAAAACTAAATCCAGGACGAAAGACATTTTGAAGTAACTGCTCAGAAATGACAAACATAACATGTTTGCTACAATGAAATCACAGAGATCTTTTGACTAAGATCCTACGAACTGAATTTAAATCATTTTAAATACTTTTTGCTTCTGATTTAAACATTTTCAGGAATTATCACAGGTAAACATGTTTATTTTTAATTTCACCATGCTTCATTGTGCGATGACATTAAAGGCATTCTATTCTTTATGTATCCTGAAAACTCCACGCTCACTGTTAATGTTGGAAAATCAAAATCAAACAATGATATACATTGGACAGTTAAATTGTGATATTGATACTGTTTTATTGCCCAGCTCTCACTTTGTGCTTTGTGCCACATAAAGCCTAGTGCTCTATGTATAATGTCTGAGCCATTGCAGGAACCTAACACTTTTTCACTGTAATACCACAACATGACAAATACTATAATTAAAACACTACGTACAAATATCTTTTTTTTTTTAATCATATGCTCATCATACGTGACTTCAGGTGCCTAGCTAATAGGAGCGCCTGTTGTGACTAGTTTATGATAGGCGCCCCTCTTGGCCATGAGTTCATCATGTGTGCCGAGCTCTATCACGACTCCTTGTGACATCACTGCGATGGTGTCAGCAGTCTCGATGGTAGAGAGCCGGTGAGCGATGACAATGCAGGTTCGTCCTTTTCTTGCCTCATCCAGAGCAGACTGGACGGTCTGCAGGAAAACAATTCTTTCTTATTAACAGTCCCACTTTAAGTAAGACCTCTTGGTCTCTCGTATAAAGATACAGAGGATTAATATGATTGAAACAAATTTAAAGAGATTGTCTAACTTTTATACACAAACTTAAGACATGGCTCATAGCAAAACCAAAGTTATCACCATATCATTCCACTTACGTCCCATGTGATTTAGCCTGTAGCTTTGTATTGTATGTGTTGTGTTTGATTTTTATAATGTATTTAATCTCAGTCGTAGTGTTTTAATAATGAGTTGGTTTTACAGTTAATTTGGATGACATGTACAATGTTTATGGATTATCTATAGATATTTGTTATCAATTTCAGATCACATTGTACAAAAAACTGTAAAACAAACTCATGATTAAAACAACACAGCTGAGATTATATGTAGGTACACCAGATGAAAATTAGATTATAGATTTATTATGGATTATATAAATTATATAGTTTTTAATTTCTTTTTTCAGCAAATAAATACACAATAACACCTGGCTTTATGTGTATGTTGTTTCATAGCATTAAGAAATGCCTCACCTTCTCACTCTCTGTGTCCAGGGCAGAGGTCGCTTCATCTAAGAGCAGGATCTTGGGGTTCCTCACAATGGCCCGAGCAATGGCAATGCGCTGTTTTTCTCCTCTTGACAGTTGGGAGCCCTGAGCACCAACCTGAGTATCGTATTTCTACATGTTGTTTAACATTATAGGAAAAGTAGAGAAAGACAAAGGTCACAAGGTCAGCGATTGTGATATTTAAAACGCATTTTATTGTGGAGGTAAATCTGTACCTGCCATGTGATAAAGTCACTGTGACACGTGTATATACATGTAATTATAGGTATTCAACTGACAGTTGACAATCTCACCACTAACTCCATTCAGTAGCTGTTATAACGCTTTGGATCAAATAATCATAAATTGGGGATAATTAATATATTTGCACTTACATTTGGTAATGTCATTACAAAGTCATGAAGGAAGGCTTTCTTAGCAGCTTCTACAATCTCCTCCATGCTGACGATGCGCTTGTTATCTCCATACTGTATATTCTCTGCTATACTGCAGTCAAACAGCACTGGCTCCTGGGATACTATGCCAATCTGAGCTCTTAGGAATGGCACATTGACTCTATGAGACAGGCGACCATCAATCATCTGAAAATAAAAGATGACGTCGATAATAACTTTGGAAAAGATTATACTCATTCTGTGATGATGTCTAAATCTGCAAACTCACTACTTGGCCCTCATCTGGGTCGTAAAACCTCTCCAACAGTTGAATACTAGTGCTTTTTCCACAGCCGCTGCACCCGACAAACGCCAAAGTCTGACCAGGCTTCACAGACACAACCAGGCCTTTCAACACCTGGATATCTGGTCGTGTTGGATACGTGAACTTGCAATTGAGGAACTCAATGTCACCTCTGAAGTTGTCCTAAAGATAGACAACAAGGCATCATCATTTCAAAGTAAAATCATGATCAAATTAATTAAACAGTATTCCATTCTATTTCGTGAATATACCAACCCATTTATCTCCATTCTTGGGACTTAAGCTGATTTTTGGAACTCTGTCCAACAGTTTAAAAAACTTCACTGCAGCAGTTTTGGCTTTGGCATAATCTGGAGTGAAGGTGGAAGCTCTGCCCAATGCCGTCCCACTGATAACTACAGCTGAAATCACTCTAAAGGAACAAATGATTGCTTGGAAATCACGCGACAAAGCAGAAAATGAACATCAATACAGAAGTTGAAAACTATCAGATTTATGTGAACTTTTACCAACCTGAAAACCATTATGTAGGACAAACCCTCAGCAGCAACCAGATATCCTCCATATCTATATGAAGCAGCATATGCCATGAAGATGACACACTCAGCAAAGCCAAAACAGAGGCCATAGATGTTGCCACTCTTTTTGGCAGATTCAAACGGAGGCTTCAATTCCTGCTCGTATGATTCCACAAACAAGCTCTCTTTGGCCAAGCCTGCAATGGTCCTAATGTTGTAAAGAGCTTCACCAGACACCTGAGTGCAGATATTACATTATTTTTTCAGTGAAATGAATAGATATCAATGGGCCTAAGTGGAAAATGTTAACATGATACTGAAGGAGGAGCCTACCTGCCCTGCTGCTTCCATGGCATTTTTCTCTTGATTTGCAAAACCTGTCAGAAGTTTGGCTTGGAATGCTCCAGACAGCCCAATAAGTGGCAGGAAGCATACAATTACCAAAGTTAACTTCCAACTGAAGTAAAAAGCAATGATGAGAGATGCTCCAATGCTGGTCAGTGAGCTAATGATCAGGCCAATCTGAGAACCTGTTGCCTGCAGAAGTCAAACCAGCCATGTGTAAAACAGACATTATCCAAATTGAAGCTATCCAGAAGAGTTTCAAGGGCAAGACCACACCTCAACCGTGCCTCGTCCCGAGTCTCCATAAATGCCCTCCTAACCCTTTCTTGCTCTTCTGTTCTCATATTCTGCACCCATCCGCATACCCTACTCTCTCTTTGTTTCTTCCCAGTGCTTTAGCAGATTCCCACTCCAAAGCTTCCCCCAAATGCAGCAAAGACGCAACAATACTTCAACCTCATCATTATTAGACACAACTTGCTGATGGTGTGGTCATTGCTGCTGAACCAGGTTTTATAAATAATGTGAAATAGAGGTACAGGATTGAAAAATTGTGACTTACCCCCTGGACCATAGATGCATCAGTGGCTAGCCTGGTTGTCAGAGTTCCTGGGCCATTTCTAGGGTCATCAAACCACCCAATCTCTTGTCTCAACATGGTCTGAAAGCTAACTTTCCTCAGACGACGTGTCAACAGCTCTCCAGATTTGGCAAAAGCATATCCCTGGAACATTAAAGCAACACTTTAACTGAACAACAGCACCCTTTTCAGTCGCATGTGGTAACTTTGAAGCTGCTATTTTAAGGTCAAAAAGTTGCTTGGTCATGCAAATCCCAGTTGAATGAATCCCACTGAATTTCCCAATGATAAAATTATGATGCAAACCTGTACAAATTGTGAAAAGAAACTAGCCATAGCCACAATGCAAAACAGAGCACATATCCCATTGATTTGTCGCCTCTGTTCGTTCAGGTCGTGAATGGCAAAAGTCTGGAAAGACAAAGATCATGGGAATCATTAAAAGATTGTAAAAAGCCAGTATAAATTGATTGTAAGCCTCGGGAACAGCCCTTACACCAATAATTTGGCTGAACAAGATGGAGTAGATGGGGTTGACGGAGCCATTGATTACAGCTCCCAGCGAGCCCAGCAGCAGGTAGGGCCACTCTGGTTGGTTGTACTTAAGGATACGTGCAACTGGTGCAGGCTCCACTTTTTCATCTTCATCTTCATCATCATCATCCTCATCCTTATCTCTCTGTTTAAAAATGCATTACTTTGATTTAATCCTCACAGTTGACAATAAAAGTCATCTATTACATTAAAAGAAACAATAAAACATAATATAAGTGAAGTACGTATTCTGTTCCAATCTCCATGTCGGGAAAAATCTTGAGGCTGCCTGATAAAGCATCAGGGACATCAGGGTTAGACAGTGTACTGGAAGATCGCAGACGAACAGAATTCCTACAACAATAATATCAGAACAGCAAATTATCATAATATTGCATTGTGATCTGTTCTCACATTTTTCTGACATGTTTACGATGTATACCTTTTATTGGCTCTGCAGCTCCCCCTCCACGTTTTCACATCAACTTCCTCTCTCTGAGCAGGACTGACTTCATCTGGTGGGAAAAAATCAGTAGGGCTTTAATAAAATGACTGATGCCTCCTTCCTGTGTGTGATTATAGGGGATTATCCTGTTACTCCTACTGTGCGCTTTGAAATTAGCTGTTTCAAACAACCTGGGGTCCTTCCAGGGACTGGGAGGAAATTGTGGGTAAGGAGCAACAAAGAGAGAGGAGGTGGTTTTATTCCCATCATACGCTCTTTTAGACATGCACTGATGTCCGGACATTTTAGGGGCTGTATGACAGAATGTGAAGTAAAATGTGAAAATGAAAAAAGAGTTTGCCTCTTGATCCAGCAGAGGGCAGTCACTATTAGCTTGACCTATTGCATGCCCTCTTGACCAGTAAAGTAAGTCAGTAATGGAGGACGTTAACAAGCAAAGCTCATTAGAATATATTTCAATTTTGTTTCATGTCAAATTTGTATGAACTTGATTTTTACTACGGCAAATAACATCCTTTAGCAGGAGCTTTTGGGAGCGTGGATCTTGTCTTTTTTCAGACTTTTGCAAAATGTCATTGATCCAGCACCCATCATATTTGATCTTTTACTTGTTTGTGTTTTTTACTCAAATTTTGCCATGCAAGTACTTCTAAACACATGCCAAACAATACAGGTTTTGTTGTTGTGAACGTAGCCTGAGGATGGGAAATGGCAATCCTACCATTAGTTGGGGTGGATGTGCCTTGGTTCTGCAGGGTGACCAGGGTGAAGTAGACCCCTTTCCTTTCCAGCAGCTCACTGTGCGTTCCTTTCTCCACCACCCGCCCATGCTCAAAGCCAATGATGACGTCTGCATGTTTAATCGTGGAAAGACGGTGGGCTACAGAAATTGTTGTTCTGCCAATGCGCACCTGCACATATTCCAGTTATCCGTTTTATTCCACAAAACACAATGAGGAAATTAAGTTCATTGTTTAATGTAGTGTAGTGACAGTATTGCTCACCTTATCCAATGCTTCCTGGAAAACAGCTTCACTCTCATTGTCTAAAGCGGACGTGGCCATGTCCAGCAGGAGGATCTTCGGGTTTCGGATCAGAGCTCGAGCTATAGCGATCCTCTGTTTCTGGCCTCCACTCATCTGGCCTCCACCTTCACCCACCAAAGTTTCAAATCTCTGGAGAATATTAATTAATGCCTTTTTGGTTGGTTATCATTTCATATATTGCATTAAGACAGGTTCAGAATGTGTGTTATCGAAACATACCTGTGGCAGCTCCATTATAAAATTATAGGCATTGGCCTCTTTTGTTGCCTGGATAATGTCTTCCATGGTGACTCCAGGTTTACCATAGCGGATATTTTCTGCTATGGTCGTACCAAACAGCACCGGCTCCTGCTCTACAATACCAATGAGGGAGCGAAGCCACTTGATGTTTAAAGTGCGGATGTCGTGGCCATCCAACGTCACCTGAGAATGAAAATTTCAAAAATGATGCTACATTGAAGGCTTCAATCATCCCAATGATGTCACGTGTCGACACTCAGATAGTTACCATTCCTCCATCTGGATCATAAAACCTTTGGATGAGCTGGATTGCCGTGCTCTTTCCAGATCCACTCGGTCCAACAAAAGCTGTGGTTTCTCCTGCTTTGACCTGCATGCTCAGATTATTTAAAATCTGAAACAAATTGGTGGTTTTCCATCAGTTTAAAGTGAGATGTGGACAGTCAGAATTGCTCTGCAAAGAAAATCACCTTGACTTCAGGCCGGGTTGGGAAGAAGAACGTAACATTGTGGAACTCAATGTCACCTTTCACTCTGTCTAATTTGTGACCTTCTTCTGAGAAACAATCAATTTTTGGTTCCTGTGAATACAACAGCAGAAGAACCTTTCTCTTAAAATGCAATCTTTCCAATCTGGATTGTATCTGTAATTAAGTCATGAAATTCATTGTGATTTTACCCGCTCAATTGTGTCAAAAATGGTCTCTGCTGCTGCTCGACCAGAAGCAAAAGCCTGCAGGCAACTCGAGGCCTGACCCAGGTTCATGGCTCCAATGAGCACTCCAAAAAATACCTGGAAACAAACAGCAGAAAATGGTGAAACAACTGCCACTGTTTTTGAAATGCTAAAATTGAATGAAGTATCTGATTTTGCATTGATACCTGGACAAGGCTGCCAGGGGACAACTCCCTTGTGTCGATGACCAATTTGGATCCATACCAAAAGGCCAGAGCGTAACAGAGGAAAATGATGCACCACATGTATCCTTGAAACAATCCCATGACTGTGCCCTTTCTCTCACCCCAGCGCTGAGCTTCCACAAGGTTTCTGTCATACCTGTCCCGAGTTTTCATTTCATTTTGAATACAGGAGCATTGTGAGCATCATCACATGCAAAGCAGGAAAACTTTTGCAGTTCTTAGAAAATGACAAAATACCTTTCAGCTTCTTTTTCTTCCCCACCAAACGCTACTACTGTTCTGATGGAGGACAGGACCTCGTCAGCCACTGCCCCTGCCTTTGCGTAGGCCTTCAGCTCTTGTCCAGTCAGCTGGGTGACAGCCTTCAGGAAGAAGTTATCAGAAGGCACAAAACATTAAAAACATCACTTTGTTTTAACATGATGTCCAATTATCCATTCATAATATATACTACTTATCCTTTGAGGGAGCTGGAGCCAATCCCAGCTGTCATTGGGCGAGAGCCAGGGTACGCCCTGGACAGCGAATCACATGGGACAAACAACCAGTCTCACACCTATACACTCAATCAAGAGTCTCTGATCAACCTGTTCAACTTGTCTTTGGGCTGTGGGAGGAAGCTGTAGTACAGGTAGAAAACCCACACAGACAGAAGGATAACATAAAGACTCCACACAGAAAGACAGTGGCCAAACTGGGATTCAAACCTTCTTGCTGTGCTAACCACCACACCATGTGCTGCCCCTGTTTAAACACAATGTGCGATTCCCAACTGGACCCCTACCGTAGCCATTAATCCGGCAGCAACACCAATCAACGGGCTCACAGCTATGACCACCAAAGTCAGCTTCCATCCGCCAATGAATCCAACCATGAAGCCAAAAACAAATGTGGAAATCCTCTGAATGAAGATCGACACCTGGTCAGCGATGGAATTGTTGATCTTGTTGATGTCACTGTAAAGGAACAGAAGACATCAGAGTCTATAGAAAGCGTTCTCCCAGCCATGCATTGATAACAGAAACTCCAGACTCACTCGGAAAACCGAGTGTTCAGTTCGCCAACAGAGTTGCAGTCGAACCATCCAATCTCCATTCGCATGACTTTTCGGAAATAAGTCTTTCGTATTCTGTCAGTCTGTCCCGCAGCTGCTGACACCCACAACATAATCTGCACCGTGCCACAAAATAATTTCTTTGAGCAGAAGAAATGTGCCACACTGCAATAAGAAACAATTACTCAATTGGTGGAATCAACTAAAGCAGAAATACTTACTTGAAAATAACTAACAATCAGAACTCCTAATCCAATTCCAATATAGTAATATGAAAAAATGGTCATCTGTGCTTCAATATCCAACCTGTCAAGACAATAAAACAGTTAACAACAGGTCCTACACACTGTAACAACATTCATATTAGCAATAAACTCATGACTCACCCACAGTAGACAGTGCTGTTTTCGGCCATTTCATAAATGGTGCCATTTTTCCAATAAATGGTGTTGTTGGTGCACACCTTGTTTGGGTCTTTGAGTTCTTGGACCTCAAGCTCATAATTCACAAACGTGTCCGTCATCTCTCCGTACACTAGAAGCATGATAGGTGGCGCTATGCCGTGTACAAAGGCACACAAACTCCCAACCACCATCATAGCGATTTCTTTCCCAGTGGCAAACCGGAACTGCAAGATGTACATTTTGGATTAAAAAAATAGAATGACGACATACTCGCCAAGAAAGCCAAAAAAGTTTAAATCTGAGTTGAATTAGCGCCAAAGACTTTTACGTGTACTAGTGGCAAAGTTGGATGTTGAGGTTGTTGCTTACTTTAAATAAATCTAGGAAAACAAAGGAGTAAACATGTTTATTAGTTTTAAGTAAGGTTTATTTTAAATCTAAATGTGACTTTCACTTAAAATTGTTTGTCACATTTTTCAAGTCCATCCAACTCAAAATGGCAGGTAGAATGAACTTGTTCTGTCAGTTTAAGTAAAATAAGATACTCTGTCATTTTTTAAATTATTATTCAGACATGGGAATTGGGCTGAGTGTGGCTTTTAACATCATCCATTACTTTTCTGTACAATACTGTAAAAATACTGACTGGAGAGAGTAGTGGTGTCACTAAACAATGCAAATATAGCTTCACTCACAGTTCTAAACTCACATTGATAACAAAATAACTTAATACATACTTGAATTTACCATGTACCATATAAAATGTCTTAGAATACAGCTAGTCCAAACATCTCAGAAGGTTGGGATCACAATGTCAAATTAGTCCTCACACACAAATATGATCGACTTACCAGCTGAGAATATCCAACACTCAGTGTTTTTTCTTTTTTCTTCTCATCTCTGTAAAACATGTAAATTACAAAGTGAATAAATAACAAGATAACGGCAAATTGAGTGTGGTCTGAATTGTGTATATTATATGTATATGTCAGGTCAGCCCAACACAAACTTACCCACTTTGATTGGCTGAGGAAAAAGGGAAAGGATATTTAGAATTGCACATAATTATTTTAATATAATAAAGCCTCCGGTTTTTTTGCGCGATGAATGGAGCTCACTCACCTCCTATGTCGACATCTGGTATTGGTGTTAGTTTGAGCAGTTTCTTCATGTTTACCTTCCTGAGTCAGTGTGCTTACTTGGCAACTGTAGAAAATCATCAAAATGATCATTTGGAAGTTTAATCATTAAGATTAAGATTTAGAATTCCTTTATTAGTCCCACAAAGGGGACATTTGCAGTGTTGCAGCAGCAAGAGTCAAAAGACATCAGCAAGTAATATGTAACAAGTACCATGCAATAATTAAGTGTAAGGAGGATTAAAAAAAAATAGAAATATAGAAACATATGAATGTAATTAAACTAGTATATACAGAGTAAAGACAGG